TGTTAGTGTTTTCTTGCATTCATCCTTAATTATGTCTTTGACTTCTGTGCACAGTTCTTCAGGTTCCCAGTCAATTTTACTCAATAGTTCAAATCTGTTTCTTACATTGTCCTTGAATTCATCTGAAATGTTATTCAGGTCATATTTCGGTATAATGATGGTTTTTGCTTTCTTCTTCAGCTTAACTGACTTTTGTTATAAGCAGTTCATGGTCTGTGCCACAATCAGCTCCTGGTCTGGTTTGGGCCACAAGAATAGAGTTTCTCCATCTTCTACTTCCATTTATGTCATCTATCTGGTTTCGTGATGTCCAGGTGTATAGTCTCCTATCTGGTTGTATGAAGCAGGTATTTGCAATGAATAGATTGTATGCCTCATAGAATTCTATCAGATGCTCTCCTGTTTTATTTCTTTTTCCTAATCCAAATCTTCCTACTGTTTTTGATTCTTCTTTGTTGCCATCTTTAGCATTCAAGTCTCCAATGATTAGTTTGCAATCTTGTCATAGCATGTTGTCAATTTCTTCCTGGACTGCATCATAGAATCTCTCAATTTCCTCTTCATCTGCATCTGTGGTTGTCTGTAAACTAGTCTGTAGCATATTTGCAAGCAAGTTGTCTAAGGCTGCCACTTTGTTACAGGATTCCTTTACCTTTTTTATACAACGGATAGAAACTGTATGGCGATACTGAAAATCCCAGCATTCCCCACCATTGTCAATCCTCACCTGGGCTGATGAGAGTTTAACTTCAACAACAGCTGGAGGGTCAAACAAATCCCATCCAGTTTACATGAAGAGTAGAAATTGATCAAGTAGTAATCTCCCCTTCCCTGCTTTTCAGTCCTACAGGGAAATTACCAGTGCTGAATTTATGCTTCTTCGATCTATAGAAAGCGCAATGCATTTTTATTCAGCTATGCATATTTACTGAAAGTTCTGCTGAGGTGACTTAAGTTTTAATCAGGATTTTTTTAAAAAATCAATTTCCTGGTTTTAAAGGTGTTTAAAAGAGGAAAGTTGGTCCTTTTAATGCTTGTGTCTGAAGAAGGTTCTTACATCATGTTAACAATTATAAAGTGAGCTAGCTTTACATGCCACAGCAAAAAATGTTGATCTGAACAGCATACTGGTCATGTATATGTGTGCCTTCAAGTTGTTTCTGGCTTACAATGACTCAAGTGAACTTATCATGGGGGGTTTGGGGGCAAGATTTGTTTAGGGAAGATTTGCCCTTGCCTTCCCCAGATGCTGAGAGTGTGTGACTTGCTCAAGGCCACCCAGTGGGTTTCATGGCTGAGCTGGGAATTGAACCCTGGCCTCCAGAGTCATAGTCCAGCACTCAAACCACTAGTCCAGCACTCAAACCAGAATGGCTATCAATATTTCCCTCATTCATTATGGGAACTGGCCTAAGGCAAGAAAAAGGCCAGCCTCATAAAAGGTGGGTCTATTCAGATACTTTCTGTACATAAGGGAGCAGGATTGCCCCTCTTGGTCTTGCTCACAGTATCACTTGCAACACCCCAAAGTCCGTGCATTGCTGGTGGACTAAAAGAAGTTGCCTGCATTCAGCTGACTGTGAGCAAATGCTCTATGAAATAAGCAGCCCCAATTGTGCTGAGATCCTAGTGAAGTGGCTATGTGTGTGTCACCAAAAAAAAGAGCATTTGCCACTTTGTAAATGAGGACTATAGAGGCGGATCTGGTAGTATGCTTGTCATTGGAGTGGGGATGCTGTGTCACCTCCCCTTCCCATGCATTTGCATGCAGAATTTCTGAGCATCCTGAACATGGCTTTGTGTTTAAGGGCGCTTCCGACGTTTTTTTGTTTTTAAAATGCAATTGTCCGCACTCCAGCCCAGGGTTTTATGGCAGGACAGATGGTTGGACAGGCCCAGACAGTTAATTCTTCCATTTGTAACCCTCTTGGTTACAGACAGACAGACACAGATTTGCCAAGGAGGGAAAGATGGGCAGGAATCTTCTTGGTGATTTACAACTTATTGCTTAAATGGGGACTATGGAAACCTACACGGTGTATTGGTTTGAGCATTGGACTATGACTCTGGAGACCAAGGTTCGATTCCAAGCACAGCCATGAAACCGGCTGGGTGGCCTTGGGCAAGTCACATCTTCTCAGCCTCAGGGAAAGGCACTGGCAAACCTCCTCTGAACAAATCTTGCCAAGAAAACCCCATGATAGGGTTTGCCTTAGGGTTGCCATCAGTCAGAAACAATCTGAAGGCACACAACAACAGGGGATATGCTAAAATAGCTACTTTGGGACATTGCACACGGAAATATACAGTACTTTCCTAGGCAACTCTCCCTACCCCAGCCTCCAGACAGTACTATTACCTTATCAGCACCCTAAATCCTGGAGAAGCCAAAAGGAGTTAACTATTTTGCTGTGTAATTTGAGTCTTATTATTTCACTGGGACATATGCACTGACGCAGTAAAATAGTATCTCACTTATACTATGTGAAACCACACTGTAGGGTGGTAGAGCTCACATATTTGAATACTCATATTTTTAACAAATAAAATCTCTGAATGGAAAATGCTAGATGTAAGGAAAGGCAGGTAAAATCTAACCTGTTGTGGCCAGTTTTCGGGAGGGGCACTGACTCTTATGAACTACTGTCTGAAATTTGAAATGGTAGAGTCCATATATAGGTTTGCTACCTCGCTGAAAGCTGGGCACCTATTGCATCTAATATTTCACAGAACAGCTCTCCTCTGGACTTTTAAAAATATTTTATTGCATAATTAATATAATATTTACAATACATATTATATTACTACTGTTCTATTGTTCTACTTACAATACATACAACCTTCCTTTAGTTCTTCAATAGTGAGTACCTACATTTATTCAATTGTTCTTTAAGTATCTATCTTAAATTTTAATGTCTTACAATTCTTACTAGTAAACTATAAATGTTCTCTTCCATCTTAGTATCTTAGCTCATTTACATCCAGTTTTCTTTAATGTATCTCTCTATTGGAGCCCATTCTTCATTTATTAAATCCAAGTCTTTATTATTAAGTATTTTTGTTAATTTGTCCATCTCTTTCACTTCTAATAATTTTAAAAACCATTCATCAACAGTAGGTATGTCTTGTTTCTTCCATTTTTGTGCTACTACAGTTCTGGCTGCCGTTACTGTATACAAGAGGATCCTCCAAAATTTTCTCTCTATTTCTTGGTCTAAACTGTTT